AAACGATTTTTTGAAACCGTCACTTGGATGATCCCCTAAAGTAAAGAAGTTTGTAAAATGTTATATTTATTAGTTGTATGGAGGACACAAAGGGCATTACTATCGGGGAAAATGCTCTCTGAATTTCATCAAAATAACTCAGTACAACAAAGTCAGCATTTGCACTGCACTCCACATATTGCCGTTTTTGTATAATTTTAAGATGCCAGACAGCTGGAAAGAACTATTTTTACAAAGTATGTTATTGCCCTAATATTTTAATTGGTGTTTGATTTCTATAATGTAAAGTGAAAGACTTAGATAGAATTTCTAATTCTATTACACAGGGAGTGGGGTTTTCGATTTCGCTTAGTTTTCACAGCATAAAGATATCAAATGTTTTGTGTCAAATTTAATTTAAATTGGTCTAATAGTTTCTGATATAAGCAATTTTATCTGAAACTGGGTGTTGCCACGCCTATTGTACAATTTTTACACCTGCTTCTATTAAGCTCTTGCGAACTATTTTAGCTGTGAAATTTTAATGCATCTGGTGTATTTGTTTAGAGAGTTGTCGCACCTTAAGTACAGGTTGGTTGAACCGTTTCTGCGCTCGAAATGCAAAAATACTGTTGTTGGTACGAAATATATTTTTTTATTCATTATAATCTCCCTTAACTTCAATACACTTATGCCAATGATCCTCCAATAATTTTATGCCAGCCCTATTATGACTTTCCGGAAGCTTTGCAATATACAAGTCTACGGCTGTAATATCTTCTTCATTCGACGAAAAACGCTTTCCACAAAGGAATTGTTTCAGGTTTCTGTAGAGGTAGTAGTCGCTGGGAGCCAAATCTGGAGAATACGGTAGATGCCTAATCAACTCGTACTTTAATTCTTTGAATTTTGTCATTGTTATAACAGCTTTGTGAACAGGTGCAGAGTTTATTGTTTTACCTTTTTGCAGATAATCAATCAACGAAATTTCTTTTGCATCCCAAAAAACTGATGCCATAAACTTCATTGCTGATCGTTGTGACTTTACCTACTTCATAGCTGAACAAACAGCTTCAGTCCACTGTAAGCGTTCTTGTTTCAATTAACGTTCATGGTGGTAGATCCAAGTTTCAATCATTGCCATAAAACGACGCAAAAAATCGGTTTTATTCTGCTTAAAGCGCTCCAAATTATGCTGAGAAATTTGTTTTCAACCCAGTTTTTGCTGAATTGTTAAAGTGTGCAGCACTTACTTTCCAAACAGCTTTTTCATATGTAATTCTTCATGTAAAATATAAAGTACTCGTTCGTGTGAGATGTCTATGGCATTAGCAATTTAACGATTAGTCAAACTTGGGTCTTCACAAACAATATTATGAACTTGCTCGATGATTTCAGTTGTGGTTGCGGTTTTTGGTCGTCCTTTTCGTTGATCATATTCAAGCCTAGTATGACCACGATTAACCCTTATGTTAGTAACCAACTTTACCGACGTCTTTTAGCAACGATCTGAGTATTATTATTATTTTGTTTATTTTATTAAAAATTAATAGTCAGAATATTAATAGTCAGTGACAATTTAAAGAAAAAAAAAATAACAACGTAGAATAAAAAAAATTTTAAAAAAATTAATGCACAAATAATTTTCTTTAAAGTTTAAAAACGACGATTTGAGAGCTTTAAATGAAATATTGAATTTTTTTTAAGCTATTCACACAAATACACCGTGGTAACTAACATAAGGGTTAAATTCACCAGCCCAAAATTCAAAGGTGCTTTTTTAAGGTGGGGACTTATACACTTTTAAAAATTTCCTTTGCTTTTAAACCTTTCAAAATAAAGAATCTAATCACTGTGCGATATTAAATTTTTTCCATATTAAAATAATACTCTGACAAGTCAACTTCAAATGGTTTGTAAACAAAGAATTAAATCACAGATTGACTTGTAACTTTGCATGTGTTCTCACGACAGATGTACTCACTTGAGAAAAATAAAATTGGAGCTAGTAATGCTATTTCTTGGTGAGAGCAGAAACTTTTCAACCAACCTATATTTATATAGTGAGTTGTCGCACCTTTAGCACTTTAGTAGTTTTAGTAGTAGTAATCATTATATGAAGGATGGGCTTATTTATCATTCGATTTTTACACTGTATGAAGGTGTGCTAAATACATTTGTTCTCTACTAGTTTGGTTGCTATAGCTTCAGTGGTTTGTCCGATGTGTATATTATTCTTGCGGGAGTGTAAAAATAGAGTGAAAATGCTACTAAATATATAAAAGGTAATTTAGATATTTTTTCCGCGATTGTAGGGTGTTAAACAAGTTGAGTTTCGAATCAATTTGTATATTGGTGAAACTTCATACTTTAATGCTATATCTATTTTTTAGTCAAGTTTTTACTAACTCTTATGTCTTTGAAAATTAGTTGCAAATTTAACTTGTGTTTAAAAATTGGTTTTGTTTATGACTAAATTCCATAATTTTATTAATAAAGCAGTTGGTTATATAAGAACTTCTACATCAGTTTCGCAAATACAAAATATTTTTATGAATAGAAATTATTTTTTCGTCGGGCTTGGTTTTCAAATCAAGCCAAACTATTTTATTTAACACCAGTAAAATTTAAGATTATGCCAAAAGCTCTAGTCTATTCTATACAAAGCCGTCTCAAAGTTTGGAAAAAAATTACTTTGTAAACACCAAGTAAAAAATTTAGCGATAAAGGTTTATATAAAATTTGGCAAAAATTAAGCGTTGAAACAAAGTGCGAAAAATCTTCAGGCTATTTGGATGCGAATACGTAAAAAAAACACACTTTTATGGAGCAATAAAAAAAAAAAAAAACAGCTGAAAATTAAAAGACCAACGATGGCTAGAAATGCTTCTAGAAAATCAATTAGCTAAGCTGCTGAGTGCAAAATCGTAACTGAAATACATAAAGTAATGTCGCACATTTTATGCCCCGAATGAGCTATTAAACATGTGTTATAACGGAATAAATATATGACAAACATATATATTTTTCGACAAATGTCAACACTAAATCATTATTTTACGAGTTTTTAATTCGATTTCTAAACGAAATTGCCCTGCGGTGTGCTAATGGTCTACAAAGTACCGTAAAGTGGGGAATTAAGTGAAAGAAATTCTCGCTTAAATTTATTTGAAAGCCAGAAAGTGAAAGTATTAAAGGAATAAATTCAAGATAAATGCACGAACAACTATTAAAGGAACTGTATTTGTATGTCTGTATGTGTGGACTTCTCGTCAGCTGACGAAAGGTGTTAAGTGAGTAATAACAAAATCGAGTTACAGAGTCTAGTGGCAAGCATGACAATTGACCATTTTGTTGTTATTGTCGTTGGCACTGTTGTCTGAGAGGTTGTAAACATGCTGTGCAACTAGACGGCAAAATTTAATGATTCACCGCAACGGCACAATGAAATTGACAACGACCAATGACATACATTTAAAATCACATTTGATGCGTCCTCCGACGCTTGTTCGCCAAATGCTGACGCGTCGTAAAAATTTTAATGTGCTGTAAACGACACAATAGAGTGACTGATAGTGTGGGTGTGCGTAAGGAACTATATATTCTACAAGTCACATAGATGCGGCGGTCATTTTCCCCTAATGTGTAATTGGAGCTTTGATTTGAAGACGCTTACATTACGTGGAATTGATTTCATGTTTACGATCCTACTACTTGTGTGTAGATGCATATGTGTATGTATATATATATGTAGGTATGTCATGTACTTGAGAAGAGGAATTTATTGCTTACCAAAATGTAAAATAATGCTTGGAAAATTTTCAGTAGTCCACTTAATTTGTTATATGAGGATTTATTTCTGTAGAAGGGTGCGTTTATAGGTTCATGGAATGAATAACAGAGACTTGAAGCAGTACCTTTGGCAAAAATATGCAGTTCTTCTCTCCCCTTTTTATTGATGCGCGTAAGGCCAGTTTCAAAATTTCAAAGTTCACCGTATGCAAAGCAAGGCCTTTGTGAAGGGGTATATTAATCATGACGTTCATTATAGCATTCAAAACATAACTCGGATGCTCTTAAACAGATCTACAGTTTTCTTCTTATAGGGCACATCGAATGTGACAGTCGGAGTTAATTAAATAAAGGTCCTTCAAAGGCCTTCTCTGTGGATGAAACCAAAAAAAAAAAGGAAAAAATTTATTTGATTTTGTACCGAACCATTTCCATACAAAAAGTTGATTTATCCGATCAAGATCAGTTTATATGGCAGCTATATGCTATAATGTTAGGAAATTATTTTGTTCCCTTTGACAATAATCTATGCCAAATTATCAAAAATATGATATAAAAAATCAGCTTCGACATATGAGCAGCTTCTTGGCGAGAAAAGTATTTTGTACACATCCTTTTTTCTTCAATAAGCAGATTGATATCTCAAAAATTGACGACTAGCTAACGTATATACAAGTTGTATAGACTGACAAACGGACGTGGCTACATCGACTCATCTCATCACGCTGATTATTTATGAATATTTATAATTTATAGGGTCTCTAACGTTTGCTTTTGGGTGTTACAAACTTCGTATGTATATGGTTCGTACAATGATCTATAGAAAAAAATAGAAATCGTTTTTGATTTGCCAAATTTGATTTTTCATCAGAACGAAAAACTGTAACTGTTATCTTTAAGTGAGACGTTGTTGAATTTAAAAAGGTTATATGTTCAAGAATCTCTGAAAATGTATTTCATCTTTCTATAAAAGACAGTTTTAAGTTTTCTTCATAATTAAGCTATAAATAGCTCGAATAGAATGATCATCCTAACATCGACATGGCTTTCTTGCCAGAAACACCTGTCTGCCACTACTCTGTCATAAAACACATATATTTCAAAAGGTTCGGATAAATTACGCCATAATCTCTCCGTCGGCATCCCATTAAATCTTATTATTCTATGGCTTTGGCAGCGAAAAAGGCACCTCACCTGTATTTTATAAAGCTTTACGTATCAATTTACAGATGAGAGTTTCCGTAGCAGCAATGACGATTACCCCGACGCATCCAATTTAATGGAGCTAACGCACACAGCCCCAGTACAGCGTCAACACTCACAGCAACACCTGGCGAACACACACTCCTCGCACATGTTGCAGCATCATAGCGAACAACAACAAATGCATACACAACATTCACGGCACGTTGCACCGCCGCCACCAATAACATCGGTCCAACAGCAACAACATTCACGTAAACCACGTCGCAATCGCACTACCTTCACCTCTGGCCAATTGACAGCATTGGAAAAGGTCTTCGAACGTACTCACTATCCGGATGCATTTGTACGCGAAGAGCTGGCCACCAAAGTGGGACTAAGCGAGGCCCGTGTACAGGTGGGTGTCTGCGTTAACAAAATCGCAAATGAAATTTTAATACCTGCACATGCGATGAATACATTTATGCACTTTTCTTAAAATTCACTCACTTTCACACCCACAACTACTGCCATTTTCTCTTTGCCTCTTATACGTTTCTGACATAGGTATGGTTTCAAAATAGACGCGCCAAATTTCGCCGCAATGAACGGAGCTCTACGTGTGGCCGCTCCATATTGGCGAGTACGCCACAACCGGTGCCGCCCATCACCGTTACGCACAAATTCGATAAAGCCATCGCTGGTAGTGGTAGCGCTGGTGGATTTTTTCATCAGCAAATGGATCATGCGGCCGCAGCGGCAGCCGCTTACACTTTGAGCTTTCCAACACTTGGCATGTATTCTTCGGCGGCGGTGGCTGCGGCTGCTGCAAAAAATTATGCAAATTCCTATAATGCATTTGGCAGTGGTCCAGCGGTTGGTGCTAGCGTGGATGGTCTCACCGGTGCCGGGGGTGCTGGAGGTGGTGGCTGTGGCTTCTTTGGTTCTTCGAATTATTGTGCGCCTGCTACTGGTTATCAACACAGCTATGCAACGTTGCGGTATAAGGGAGCTCAAGGATTTTAGCGCTATGAAATGAAATGTTGAGAGAAGCCGCAGATAAGTGAATAAAAAGTACAACTTAGTTAAATTTTCATTAATATACTTAAGGAGATTCGTTCAATAAAATATTTATTTAATATTATCTATTACGTGCACTGTAAGCAAAACGAATGCAAATGATTTTTATTGAATTTCGAGAAAAAATAGTTTAAAAATTATAAAGAAATCAGTGGCAGCTGTCGTTTCTAGTAATTTATGGCTCTGTGAAATATTGAATGCGGCGTCGATTTTCACTGCGGAATTTATATTTATGAATTCAATGCGAACAAGCGAATGAAGAACTTTTCGCTAGGGAAATATATTTTGTTACTGACATATATTTTATACCATGAACAGGGTATAATAAGTCTACCCCGAAGTTTATAACACCTGGAAGGAAAAGTCGCAGTCCCTAAAAAGTATATACTCGTAATTATAGAAATGACATGACGAGCTGAGTAGATTTAGTCATGTCCGCCTATCTGTCTTATATACCAACGCAAACTTATCTTTTTTGAGATATTTATATTTTTGAGATATGGCTATGAAATTTTGCACACGTCCGTTTTCCCCAAGGAGCTGCGCAACTGTCGGTACGGCCGATATCGGACCACTATAACACATAGCTGCTATACAAATTGAACGATCGGAATAAAGTGCTTGTATAAAAAGCCTTTTAATTTGACGCGATATCTAAATTTGGAATGAATTATTGTCCCAGGCACTGATGCAATCTCCGAAGAAATTGTTTATATCGGATCACTATAGCACATAGCTGCAACGAACTGACCGATCAGAGTTCTTATAAGGAATCTTTTGTATTTGTGAAAACTATTAGAGCTTTGATGCAAACGAAGTTAACGTTTTTTCTTGTTTTTATTGACTTGAGATTTGAAACAAAATCTAGTTACACCATTTCACAACGAAAATGATACAGAATGGCTTTATAAGTTCAGGTGTAAAAAATGGACAAGAGATGTGGCACCGCCGATCTTTAGGGGAGATGCTATATCTTAGAAACTACTTAACCAAAATTGATTTGTGAGGAAACCCAAACATTCCTAACAACGCTGTGGGCATATCGAATGACAATCACACCTTTTTCCCATATATGGGTTACTGGTGCATTCCATCGGATTTTTTCACTTTGCAGTATACAAATCAAGGAATGCAATTATCGGAATAAAACTTTGCTCAATAGTGCTCTTAAAGTGTTTCGTCTTACACCCAAAAATTGTCGAAATCTGACTATAAGTTTTCATGGACCCAGACACCAAATATGTGGACCACAGTGCATATGGCTGATTTTGTTCCGAACATACATATCGGTCAATCTCTGAGGTCTAGTATTAAAATTCTGGGAGAATATTTTTATGATAACAGCATGCTCTTGTGCAAAAAATAAATTAAAATCGGATTACTACTTCCCTTAGCTCCTATATACTTCATGTAAATATTTTAGAACTTCCGGTCAACTTTATACCGCATCTGTCGGTTAATATGTATGAAATATTAAGGAAATTCAGCAAGAACTTTTTTCTAATAACTTCTTGCCTAAAATAGATGAAATCAGGGTTATATTTCCCCTACATTAATATAAAGTTTTACCAACACCTGAACGCATTTCCTCGGCTTTTATTCTTCTTAGTTGCAAGACTTTAAAATACTCAGTTACTTCCGAATTAAGCTCTTTCTTATTTGTAGTAATATATTTTAGAAACAAATTATTTTGAAGATCCGATTTTGAGCTTGTATAGCATCTGTCATATAATCTAAAAATGGGGATGGGCATCTTCTATAATAACTTTTTGCTTTTTGAAGTTTTGCGACTAAGGTATTACTAAAATACTTACCAAATATATACTTTTTTCATAATTTTTTAAAGTTATATCAAATATTTATTGATATTTAGTTTTGTGAAAAATATGTTCTTCCGATTTTTCGCTTTCTATAAATTTTGTTATGTTGGAATCATCAAGTATTTTATTGGCAGCGAAACGGGCTTCAAAGGTTTATTCTATTTGGTAGTCTATTTAAGCCCAAACCTTCCACAGAGATAAATTGATTCTTATATTTAACACATCTTCGTTAACATTTTCAACAGCAGAAATAGCAAATATTTCAACCGTGCCTGCACTATTGTAATTATTTTCAATTTATACTAAAGTTATATTTTCTTATTCCTCAGTATATGTCCAACAAACGCAAATGTCCATTGTGAATATTATGGAAGTTTACTAACTTTAGATTCATTAGAACTGGAACTGACCTACCGGCGCACTGACATTAAAACCAGTGAATCATTACCTTTCGTTGTCCTTGCAAAAGTTTTTGTCACACAAAATTGTATTCCCTCTTTATACATTTGAAACTCATTAATTTTGCGGTTGTGTGACGCACATTTGAAATACAAACACAAAATCCACAAACAGTTGTGTGCTTTACGTGCTTTGTAAAACTTTAGCAATGCAGTTGACTAAAGTAAGTAAAGAGTTGTGCACTGTGTTGTAAACACTAACGTCACCCACACGTAAATCTGTACAGGAAGTGTGCAGTTGCTTCTGCAGTATATAGACACCACAGGAAATGAAACTTTAGAAACGATTTTTCTCATTACTCTCAGCGTGTGGGTTTGAGAAATAGCAAAACGCACACGTTGACCTTTTTCGATAGTGGCAAAGAAAAAGTTATTTAACTTCGTCGAGTTGTTACTCTGGTATTCATCAAAACCGCAGAGAGCAAGCGAACTATTGTAAAGGAACGTTAATTTTTACCTGGAAAAATTTGTGTAGTATTATTAGATTTTTATTTTTTTTTTGGTTGTAAGTAGTGCATTTAAGTCCTTATGAGCGCATTCTGCCAGAAGTCGTTCAAAATTTCTCAATGCCAATTTCAAAAGCACATTGCATAATGTATAACCTGACCTCAAGAATGCAAGAAACGAAAGAGAATGTCGGCATATATTTGATTTTTATCATTGTTCTCACCATTGTAAATATTAACAATTTGTAGCTCGTTTAATATTAATCACTCACTTGAAAGGGAGTAAAATACATTTTATTAATCATCTTTGTAAAGTGTAGCAGAAGTGGTGACGAGAGTAAGAGCCATTTAAATACAGTTTTTTTTTAAATACATTACTGAATAAGATCTAAAGTTTTTGCTAGCTATGCATTTGATCCGAGAAGGCAGTATCGAAACTATAGAGTCAATCTGAAAGGAAGACTATTTTCGGTTTGGAAACTTTTAGGATAGCCTTTGAAAGCTGGAAAGATGGGAGGTGTTTCGAATGTGGTTATAAAACTAAAGTTATTATTTTTAATTTATATTTTTATTTTTTTTTTCATAAATACGTAAAAATATGTATTTTTCAGTTTATCTGATTTCCAGTAAATTAATTTGTATCCAAATGTTTCGCAAATTTAACTAATCTGCAGTCTATTGAACGCTTCTTTATACTTATGTGATTAATACACAAATGTTTTCATTATTATCGTTGCGATGATTAAGTTGGGTATGCAGATACGAGCGTCTACTTATTGACAATGACCGCGATATAGAAAGATATACTTGTAGTATAATAACTGCCCGCAAGCTGACTTGCTCATTGCAGCTTGTACTTGACTGACCCACCATTCGGAGTATACAGAGCTCTATATAACTACTTACCAGCGTTGCTAAGTAGCAACTCGCTTCGACGAACTAGTCTAGAGGTACTTTTCAAATTCTAACGAAATTCTTCCAACAAAGTAACTGGGTACTTACTTTCATTGTGGAACATGTGAAATCTAATTTCTAATGAACTTTTATTTAATTGACTTATTTTTGAAACGTTGAGACACTAAATTTAGTATAATAAAAGCAAGCAAGGATCATTCATTTGAAGCAGAAACAACAAAATATTCTTTTTCACTCAAATATGTCCAACATTGTGCTAATTTCCTTTTGAAACGTAATCCACAAATTGCCAGAAATATGGGAAAAACTTATAGCAGCAGATGGGCAATACATTGAGCAATAGTATTGTACATTTTTTCTAATATAAACTTACAAAATTTGAAGAAAAACGCACGTATATATAGATATATATCTAATACACATACATCATAATAGTGTTAGTAAGAAAAAAAGAAAACAGACATCACTTATTTTTGGTATCGCCCAATATAATATATTCGGCATACTCGTATAGTCAAATAAATCGTCCAATACCATTATTATAAACGTACGCTAACTTCGTTACAATAATTCACATAATGTCCGATAAATGGTATACGGTATAAAATCAAACGGATGTATGGCGATCCTTATATTACTTTATGTGATGTGCCAGCACTTTTAGCAATAAGTTTAGTTGCCTTTTCTCCGAAAAGTTGGCGTCGCCACTACAATTATTCAATTTTCTTATTAATCTAGTAGTACGCCTATAAAGATTTTGGCGTTATTCTTAAGACATTTATCGTACTTTTAATTGTTTTGAACATCACCTTTATAAATTAATAATAAAAAGCAGTGTTCATTCCAATTCTTTTCACTCATATTACTCATAACGCCAGTATCGTTACTATTGAATATCGACTACATACCCAGGCAACTGAGTCGTCTATCGCCATTTTGTTTATATAAATAAATACTATCACTACTTATTATAATAGATAGTAACGTGAAGAACAGGAAACTACTCAAAAGCGAATTGCAAATTTTGGAGTTTGAATACATTGAATATCTGTAAGTGGGGAATAGGGTTTTAATTTATTTTTTTGATTTGAACAAAATTAACGAGTAACGTGTCTTATGAACTTTTTACACCAGATTTTAAAGCTTTAAAGCATTTTCCTCACAACCCACGTTTTTAAAGTGGGTGCTCCTCAAAACTTCAAAACTACTGCAAAGATCGTTTGGAAATTTTGAATTAATACAATAGAGTTTTTATACTCTCGCAACATGTTGCTACAGCGTATAATACTTTTGTTCACATAGTCATGCTGAGCATTGGATTAGTCATTATTTTCATATACAGTCAAGGAAAAAAGTCTACATACACCCTTCGGTTTTGCGATTTTGGCAAATCTGTTCCGAAAATCAAAAAAGTCCTTATGCCAATATTTAGGTTATTATAAAATAAGAATA